TCTGGACTATGGCGCCGCATCTAATATTTGCCGCCAAAAGGGCGCGCAGCCCTCCTCGTTGATCGGCTGTTCGCGCGTGCGGCATAAGGTTGTGAATTGCCCCGCCAGAGGCCTTCTCTGCTACCACACTGACAGCGCACACAATTCGCGAGCCGCCTCGTTCGCTCTCCTCATATAACTGGCCCAAAGCGGGGATGTCGGTGCTTCGTCGTACCACAGTCGAGCGTCGTTAGCGGATAAGCTCCATTGCCCTTCCCGACGATTGCGTCGGGCGATTTGAGAGGTCGGGCGGAGTGTCGGCGGTGCGGTGCGACGCCTGTGCGGATTGGTGGGAGGTGGTGGAATGGATGGGGCTGGTTTCTTCCGCCTTCGTAAGCGGCCGGCAGCCCCCCTGCCGTTTTTTGATGGACGCCTGTTTTGTGAGTAATTTCCTCTGGGGCACACATTGCGTGTAGATGCGTCGTGCCCACAAATAAGACACAATCGGCATCGCAACAGTCTTTGTTCTTGTTGCTGTTGTTGGGTGGCTCGCCGTTACACGAGAGGCTGGGTTGCCCTCGCGAAGGTGTCAGCCCCGTGAACAGCCATTCGAAGGCGGTCGCGAGGTTTGGAGAGCGTGATGCCGGGGTCGGATGCCATCATGATCCGCATCCGGAAGGTCTGCGGTAGGGTCCTGCCAAAATCCATGAGCTGATCGGTGGGATCCCGATCTATCTCGAGTGCGCGCCTGCAGAACACCAAACCGTCGAAGACAAGCTGAACCCAAGACTTCACTTAGTGCCAATAATAACCGTATTCGCATCGGAGGTCGACGAGGACTCCGGAGATGCCCTCATTTCATACACGCGGGGCGCAAGTGGTGACACCGAATTCAAGGAAATGCAGTAACTGATCCTCTGCACCGGAATCATCTTCCAAGGAGGAAGTGCGGGAGGGCAAAGCCATGGAGTGAGGGAAATGTGGTCGGCAAAGATTGCCCAATGACGTATGAGTATTGACCCGCCATCTCTCCCGTGAGATTGCGTTGAGGAAACGTGGATTCTGGCACGTCACCAGCCATCATACGATGCGGTTGATTTGGCTGCGTATCTCCGCAATCGTCGTGCACGCCTGAGTGGGGGTTCATCTGGCGGCCCTCTCCGAGAGGTGGGCGCCTCGCGTTGAAACGGCGTCTCCGCGTCCCGCAAGAAGTTCGCCGGCCACCGCAATGTGGGATCCGCGTGCCGACAAGTAATTATGCGCCTCTTCCACCTGAGAGTAAAGCTGCACACTCCGATCCGGAACGTCCGCGACGGCGTTGGCGTCGTCGGTGCTCAACCTCCGCCCTTTCAGCAATGATCAGCCCTTGCTGGACCCCCAACTCCCGGGCAGCACACACACGATGGGCAGGAGCATTTGTGCCTCGAAATTTGGTACCTGAGGCGCCCGGAGACTCGCAATACGTACCGCAATACTTCGTATCCTCCCAATGCTTGGCGATGTTTCCTGAAACCAAGCGTAGGACTGCCATTGTTGCAGTGACGGTTACCACCGCATCCAACGGCTCGGGTCCACCAATAAAGGTGAGCTGCACCCAGACACCGCCATGCTGGCGTGCCAAGTCCAACATGCGAGCACCAATGTCTCTCCACCCCGTCGCCGTGTAAAAGAAAACACTGTTATCTCTTTCAACCAGCTTGCAGGGATCGCGAGTGGCTGTGAAAACTAAAATAATTATAAACCGCCTGGACGCTAACAGTTCCCTGATTCCCTCAATCGCAGTCAGACAAAATTCATAACACAGCAAAGAATTGCGAAGAAACACCTCCGTTTTACCAGGATACATATAAGCTAGAGTCGCCAGCTTACCTCATGAACATCCTCCTCACAAGCTTCCAATGAAACAAAGGCATATTTCCGTACTATTCCTTCCTATCGCTTCGAGTTCCTTTAGAAGACCGCGATGGAAGCAACCAAAGAACTGATAACACCAAGACAAATGTTTTTATTTTTGTTTTTGCCGTACCACCCGCCCCCTCTCTTGACTCCCACCTTTGCGGCGGGGTCCTGTGGTTGCAGGACCTCAAGGTCCACCGCTTCGTAAGCTATAAATATACATGCATCCAATCTGGATAGAGCGTTCAGCGTGTCACGGGAGTGGGGCCACCGGAAAATATAAATATATCCATATGCGGAGCAAACAACGAGGATTAGGCGAACCCACTGCCTCTCCATTTAATCATTCTTCCTTCCAGTCGTATTTTATTTGTATGGAAAAATTTGGTTTCCGGCCAGCAGCCCAGACAAATAATTCTTCCTTTCGCTTTCCTGTTTGCGTGTGTGCCACAGACACAGTTTGCTTCACGTGGCATTGGCGCCTTCACGTAAACACATCCTTCTGCCGTCCCATTTGCGGGGCAAATGAGTTTGGGCATCCAGAGCACACACACACACACACGGCCGCAACGAGAGGGACGGGGCGCATCCAAGTCCACGGCGCGGTCCCTCACTTCCCTCCGCCCCACGGCGGGTCGTGGCGGATTAGTGTTCCGCACTCACGGTGAGGCACGGCGCACACCACCCGCTCCCCTCCGAGTGCACTCAGTAGGCAGGCGCCCAGTCACCCTCGTGCCAACGTAAAGGAGTGCACAAACAATCGTCGTCGCGGACCATCGGTGCCTCTAGCAGGAAAGAAAGAAAAGAATGGAGGCATTTCAGCAGCACAGCCAGCAGTGGGACACTCAACGGGACACGGCAACAAAAAGTGACATGGGACACACGGCACAGACGGAAAAGAGGCTGTAGTGATTTAAAGAAACAATAAGCAAAAAATTAAAAGAAAAAAAACTTAAGAGACGCAAAAAAAAAAAAAAAAAAAAAAAGAACAGAAAAGTAAGAAAAAAAAGCAAAAAAAAAAAGAAGTATCCTTGAGAAAGTTGAGTGAGTAGTGCTGGGGAGCTGCACAGTTGTTGTTCCACGAAAAGCCGCAATTACACTCCTTCCTCACGCCTCAGCAGAGAGCCGCGGTGCCCCACAGCCCCAGAAGCAGCAGCAACAACACCCGAGACACACACCCATGCACGGTGCTGTCACCAATTAGAGCCATGGACGCCAAATCGCTCAAATGCCCGTGCTCAAGCAAAATGACAGGGTCCAAGGGTATTGTGGCGTTGGACTCCGATGGGATCTTGGTTTCCCCAGGCGTTGTGCGCAAATAATCCTTTGCGGCATCACCGCCATCCAACACTTCATCATGGCCTTGAGCAGTTGCCGGATCTGTGCTGGGCTCATGGGCGGCTGTGGCACCGTCCATGGGCGCCACCTCAGTGCTGTGGGATGAGTCGGGGCCGCTGCTCGCACCCACGGCAGTGTGGGGATTTGTGTCCTTCCTCTCCTCGGGTTCAACGGTTTGTTCGTCGCTGGTGAGCGTGGCGGAATGGGACGACGACTCTTCCATGTCCTCTGAAGCATCAGATAGAGTGCTGTGCTGCGGCCGATCTTCAGTGGTTTTCCTCTGCGGAGTGGCGACAACCGCCTCTTCAGCCTGCTCCGTCATCGGCCGAACCACGCTGAGAGACGAGTGCTCCTGTTCACGTTCAAAGTGATCCTCAGTGGCAGGGAAATCGGTTTCAGGTGCTTTTTGAGGACTGCCTTCTCCCGCTGTTGGAGTCAATGAGGACGCCGAGCCAACACTGCTGGATGCCACTTCTTCCACTTCCCCCTCGGCGGCTGAGGTGGACGAGCCAGTGAAATCAGCAGAAGTTGTCTGCCCGGAACCTGCTGAATACTTTTCATTTTTTGATTTTTCCGGTGATAATCCTTGATTTTGTGTTGATGGTGTGGTGTCTTTTTCAGAAGCTTGTCCCAAATGACTGTTTTGAGGCGCACCTTCCGGGGCCGACACCTCCGCCTCTGAAGCAGCGACTGCCTTCGTCTTCATTAGTGGGTTGAGCTCATCATCTTGCAATAAGCGGTTGTACAGCAGGACGTTGCTCACCGTCACATGAATGTTGCCCGAGCTGCTCTTGCCGTCCCCGCCAATGTAAAAGTGCGAGATGCTGTGGGAGCTCAACAGTTTTCGTAACTTGTGAGAAAAGCTCTTATAGCCCTCGTAATCCTCATCTTCATAATCTTCGGTGTCGCATATCCTCTTTCCATTCACGTACACAAACAACCCATCATCACAATCCATTTGCAGTGCCAAATGGTATTTCTTGTTTGCTTCCCATTCGACATTCTCATAATGCGCCGGCAGCGGCAAGCGACTGCCGTTGAAGATTATCCTCCACTCTTTGTCGTGGGTGTACGACAGACCAAAAAGCACCGTGCCTTGTGCATCGTTCATCCTCACACCCATCAAAGGGATGGGGCTGCTGCCTGTCTCCGGAGCCTTATCGATGGACACCGTCGCCACAAGAGTAAACTTGTCGTTCGCAAAGTGGTACGGCACAGTCTGCCCCATGTCGCCAACAGGCCACTTCGCCCCTGCTCCGGGTCCTTTGAACGTCAATCCACCATCAGGAGCACTTTCCACTTCCCCGTGAACGGTTGCATTCACGCAGAGGTACTCGTCACTCCATGTGTTCTTAGTTGACTTGTTGGATAAGAGGCCAACCAGCCCCTTGGTGAGTTCACGAGCATCACAGCCACTGCGCCAATTATTCTTTTCATTCCCGCAGCGGTACTCCTTCGCAATTTGCGCGTCCTTTTCCTTCCATGCAGCCAATACCTTCCTCATATCCTCCAACTTCTCCGTCAAGCCCACAAAAGCAATGTTGTACTTACCGTCCTCTGCAGCGACCTCGTACGAGCAGTACAGTTTCTTCTCTTCCTTCGGTTCTTCCTCTTTCAATGGCTGCGCTTCGACCGTGGCGTACAGCAGAGTGCTGGCGGCGACGTTCTCACCCACAGCGGATATCGGCCCAACATCATAAATTCGCTGCATGTCCGTCAGCCACAAGTGAAGTCGGCCCGTTTCTTTTTTATCCTTCTCAGAATATACCGGCCGACTGACGAGGATGACTTTCTGTCCATCGATCATCGCGCTGACGAAGCCACCCTGCGCGCCGTGCCCCACACGTGTACGTGAGTTGCCCCACACGCGTGAAAGAGTGTCGTATTCCTCCGTCCACAAATTCCCCATGGTGCTTGACCTGTAAACCCTGCGGCTGCCGTCATCACACGACGTCATCATTATAAGCTCTTTTTCCTTCCATTCAAGAACCGCAGGCTGGATGCATC